TGGCCAACTCCCGAACCTTTCGCCAAGCCCTGCGTCCAAACAACGCAACTTGTCTACAAGAATCATCAAGATCCAGGTGTCGTCCTCTCGATTTTAAATGTGGTCGTCGTACCGGGAGCAATCGGACGAGCTGGGCTTCTGGAGCGGCGACGCGCGGCACACCAACACGCGGCACACGACTTCAACGGCATGCTCAAACGGCACTTTCAGGGTTTCATGCTGCAGGAGGATGTGCATGGTCGAGCCGTCAGCGACGAGCGCAAACTTTTGGCATCGATGCTGGCTCGATATCACTTTTTGCAGCCGTGCCAACTCGTCCGCCGCAGCGTGTTACGTGGGAGACACGAACGTCAACTGGGTCGCGGAGCGCTGCAGGAAGTTCACCGCATACGCGACGTTGACGGCCGTGCCAATGTGGCCGCCCGTTCGCATCCACATCTTGATCCTGGCGACGTCGATTGACTCTGGATCATGACTTGGAGGCCATCGTACACCTCGTCCCCCTTGCATCCTTTCGTCAAGTGATGTCCCTTTCAACATGGGGACCAGCCTTTCGCCCGTCGGCAAGGGTGTCAACGGCGTTCGGCTTGTTTTTGGCTCCAAGTGGCAGCTCATTCGCAGCTGGCGGCGTTGTACATGGCCACCCACGTCGTGTACTCTGCGTCGCTCACGTCGCGTTGTGCTATCACGAGCGTGCGCACGTTGCTTCAAGTGCCGCTGGGGCATATCTACGACTGATCGCTCTTGAGAACCAATGTCGCTGGCGACGTGCGCGAGCACGACGTTGTCGGCGCTTTTCATATGCAAAGGAAACTGGTTTTGCCGCAACGAGTTGCGCATGACCACGGACATGCGATTCCGGCTGCTCGTCATCTCGAATCCGTGCAAAATGTCACTTTCCACCGGTATGTCACGTGGAGCAAGAACGGTGACGAGTCTGCGCCTATATCGAACAACGGATCGGAGATAGGGAGCATCGAAGACTGCGGCCGAGACGACGCCACCAAGCCTCCGTAAAGCGACCCGCGTACTGAGCACCTGCGAAACACCATGACATTTCGCGTACTAGTGCCCATGTTGTCAGTGCCGTTGTGGGGCATCCACCACTGTATGACGGGTCGTCATATAGTGCTATCGTCTTGATGTAGCATGGACTGCCATCGTCGTGAGCTTTGAATGTGCCTGAATCGTTTGAGCTTGAAGCGATTTCTCGATTTTCAGCGTCACGTACATGGATATGAGTACAGAGATTTGCTCATCATGAAAAAGAACCAGGAGATGAGGAATGCCCCGGTGCCCCTCGAAGGCTTCGCTACCTACCGCTGCATCATGAAGCACTGGCGCGCAGAGGTACCGCTCAAGCGACAGGATGGCTACGTCGAACGCCGTGGATGCCGCCGCGGACGCCACGCACAGAATCAAGATAAGCCCAGTGATGGACATGACTTCATGGTTGACTTGGGCGTCGATGCAGCTCTCGTTTGACGGACATGTCGCTACGCTTTGCTGGACATTGGTATGTGTCTTTCCCCGCATGGAACAACACGCCAAGGACAGCGTGGAGTTGTAATCTCGCAAGAGGACGTTCGTCGACGAAATCGGAATACCAAAAGAGAAGTCCGACATGAGTAGCGTACCGGCACCGCCATCAGGCGCGTCGCATTGAATTCGACCGTGGAGCTTCAAAAGCGAGAGAGAACGGGTGCCGGCAAGTGCGTGCCGCATTTTGGTCTCCCCATCGAAATCCGCCATAACAGAATCTGCGGTGCTCAACAGTGCCCATGGCTAGGCGCAACACGATGTCGGTATGAATCAGGTAGCCGTTGCGCTCGTGCAGAATGCCGCCGACATGGAGGTTTGCCCATGGAACTGCGTCAAAGGAAAGGTCGGGGCCGAGACGATTCGTTCGGCGGGTGATTGCTTTCATGTCATCCTGGTGTCCGACATACGGAAGCTTGCATCGAACGCCGTCACGTTGAGCAGTCGCAGCACGGTGGAAGGAAAACCACAGGAAGTCGAGATGCCCGGCGTCATGTCGAGCAAACAAATGCACAAGTTGTACGTCTTTGACAACGTCTGGCCCACTCGCGCATGACACGGCCATTTGCCCCTCGTCCCAAACTGGAAAGCTCTCGTTTGCAGAGCGTGCCACCAAAAACGTCGAACTGTCGTCGACCAGGCGCGACTCGGAGACTGCCAACTTCAAACTCTTGCAAACGATGCTGTGTGACCGCAAAGGACGCCCGATTTCGACGCCTGCTTGCTCCAGATGCCGAGAGGTACATCTTCCTTCATGACAACATGGGGACATGGATGATGCGGTCAAGCTTACGAAAGAGGTCAACTTGGCTGCAGGAGTTTGGAGAAGAGTCCAGATAATGGAATCGCCGTGTCAACCGCACAGGATAATCTATCCTCCCTGTCGTCCCAAAAGATGTATTTCCATCCGCTCGTATCCCGCGACGACGTACTGCTTCCTGTCTGGAGCGCACTTCCATTCCATGGGCTGGTGGTACCTCTCAAAGTGTTCGTCGGGCTCTACTCGTCCCGCTCCTGGCGTACCGCCGCATATCGTGGATGGTGGTCGATGGGTTCCCTTGCGCCGAGTGTTCTCTCGTGTTGGCTGTGCGGAGTCACAGCGCGCTGTGTTTACGAGCAGCTCAAAAAGAACTCTAGTCAGCTACTGTCCATGAGCTGAGCAGCACGAACCACAACACGGGCGATATCGCCCCCAGCGCTTTCATAGCAATTATGTGTGGTGTCGCCAGCATGTGCTCCATCATCTCGACGTGGCGTCGGACGCGGTGTTCGTAGGCATGGCGCAGCGCGAAGAGGAAGCATCGCGGTGTCGGCTCCAGTGTTGGAGTACAAGACTCACGCGATCGCGTCGGTCGTGGCGCAAGGCCTCCTCGAAGTCTGCGTCAATACCAAGCGCTTCCATGGCAACTTTACCTGTGACATCGGGCTCGAAGGTCTCCGTACACGATAGCGGTACCGTTCATGGCCATGGCGCCAACTTCATTCATGTTCTTCCGTGAGACTGGCCGCGGCTCGGTCAATGCGCATGAGTGCTTCGGCCAATGCTGGATGTTCCTCCAGACTCTGCCGTGCTCCAAACGATGGGCTTTCTCTTCCTCCTCCAGGTCTTCACGTTCTTCATGTCGACCGCGGCGCCCTTCGTCTAGCATCTCTGGTTGGACGCGGGATCGGGAGCTACTAGATCTTTGCTGCGGGCCTTGCGCTCTCCGGCCGGTACGGGACCTCGTAGTGCACGCGCGTCACGGCGAGTTTGTGCCATGTTCTCTGGAGCGCCATCGACGCCCTCGTTCAGTTTGCACGACTTTCGGCGGCATGCGCACCGCGTGGTTGGACTTGT